TAGTGGATGGTTTTCAAGCAGGTTCAGTTACTGGACGCGCTGGTGTTGACATGCCACGTGGGTTCTTTCTAGAGCTTCAGCAGACGATTCAGCAGGATCTCTGGCAGAAGGCATCCAATGATTTCAACGGAGCCGGAATGGAAAATGGGACCGGCAATGCCAGTTACCAGCAATTGATCCGACAGCTGGAACAGGCTCCTGGAGGCAAGCGCCTCGCAGGACTGATGCTCTCCATCGCAGCGGGTGCTTCCTGGCCTCGTACCAGGCGACAAGCTCGTTGCAAGCAGCGCATCTCAGTCCTCTGCGCTAGATGTCGCCTGGACCCGAAATTGTTTTTCACAAAACTTGGGGGTGTTCCGTTCGTGACGACAGTCCAGTGTACAAGCTCAGCGGCCCCTTCGCTGCCAAGGCATTCTCCCAGGCCGGGGCGGAGGAGTGCTTCTGGTTGCGAGGTCTCATTCCAGCGAGCGGGGTGGCAGTGGAACCCCCGCCAGTTCAGGCTTGCTGGACGCACGACAACGAAATTTCCTTCGACACCCTGGGACCAGGGACGGCTTCGAATCCTTGGTATTGCTTCGGCGACGCCAGCGGCGGGCAGGAGACGCACTGCCCCAGGATGTGCAGAGTGGGCATGGGGCTGGCGGTCTACAGCGAGCTGGGTGAGAAAATGGTTCCCTGCTGTGCAGGCTGGAGCCCCCTGTCTGGAGCGCGCCAGACTGTACCCCGAGGGGAGCTCCAGTGTTTCCTACATGCGCTGCAACAGGCGGCAGGCCACATCTGCTACGTCACGGACCATGCGGCTGCATGCGTTGGATGGTACGAACAGAGATGGTTTCACCCCGAGGGCAGCGAAGCGGACCTGTGGCACCTCATCGCTGGCGAGGTCCGCCGCGGCGCCACTGCGACTGTCCTGTTCGTCAACTCGCACCAGGACGTGGAGCAGGCCAGCCCCCAGAATCCGAAACATCTTATTGCAGGCAATCAAGAGGCTGATCGCCTAGCCGCCCTAGGAGCTGCCGAAGCCCGCCTGCCCGAGGCCACTAGGGCGCGGTTGCAGCAGAACGAGGCCGTGGCGTTTGCAGTCAGAATGCGAATCCTCCAGAGCACGCTCGAGCAGCTTCGTGCCGAGGTGGCCCTTGACAGGAAAGAGCGAAAGGAGCGGGGTACGAATCGTCCCCGCAAGGCCCCTGATGCCACCATCGTGAGACCCCCAGCCCCGAGCATTTGCGCCACATTCGCGTCAGAGCACCTGCTGGGGGAGAACGGTCGGTGTTGCACTCGGTGTCGTAGTTTCGCTTCGCATGCTCGGAAAAAGGTTTGGCTTGACTCGCCATGTTTCGACCTAGTTAATGTGGACGGCGAGGTGTTTGAACCTCCTCCTGGGGCCGAGGTGCACATTTCAGGGGGGCTCGCTCACTCGTCCCATTCCCTTAGGTTTCACCCAGGGTTCGGGGTGTGGTTCTGCAGTGTCTGTGGGAGCTGTGCGGCTGAGCAGTCAGCCAAGCTCGGAGATGTTTGCAGTGGGCGCTTAGACGGTAATCGCGCCGATTACCATAAGCGAATCTATCAGGGCTTATGGCCCAAAGCCTACAGCAAGGCTGAGCTCCCCAAGAGGGTAGTTAAGCAGAAGCCCGTGTAGGCCTTGTGAGCGACCGAATCGCTTGATCCAGATGCTCCACATGCTCCTCCTCCTCCTCCTTCCATATTCCTCCTCCTCCTCCTCCTCCTCCACCTCTCTTTCTGTCTCTCGGTGGCGCCCCTCGCTGCGCATCCTCCCCCCCGCGGCCGCAGGAACAGTTCCATTATTTCTGCCTCAAGCCAGGATGCCCTGACGAGGAGCATCCGGTTCCGCGAGGCGCGGGCCCCACGGTGAGCTGGGGCCGTCGCCCCCGCTGGGAGAGCTCCGAGCCAGAGGGCCAGAGGGGAGCGCGAGAGCCCTTTGTCCCAGTCAGGCTCGAGCGCCATGCCGCTGCAGAAGCGCAACATTCCTCAGCATCGAATCGGAAACCCGGGGCGAGTCGGAGTTCGGGGAGCAAGCAACGACATAAGCATTGGCGATGTGTCTTCGCCCCATTGTTTTTGTCTCACGCCTCGTTCTCATTACTGAGCCTCCGTGAACGATTTGATTGATGCCAAGCGCGGTGGGGCCCGGGAATCCTCTAGCGGTTCCGCCACTGCAGTGGGGCCAGCGTGATTGCACTCATGAAGGGCCGACGCGGCTGAGGCTGGAACCCTTCGCAGCGGTTCCACAAGTGTGGTCGCTTTTCAGCAGCGCGTCTCCCGTTGGAGCGATCAAATCCGGGGTGCCGATCAATTTGAAAGAGTGCTCAGGCGATCGCAAAGAGAGGGAGAAGGGAGGCGACGCGAGAAAGGAGGAGTCTCAGGACATTTGCCCGAGGAAGAGGACGAAAGGAATCTCCTGCAGAAGCCGCAGACTGGGCCAGAGAGTGCTGCAGAGCGAGGGCCGAGCCGATGTTTTACGTAAGGAAGGACCTATCCGTGTACGGTAGGTTTGTGTCGTGTCGACCGGCGGCGACCCCGCCAGCGGCGTTCAATTTTGAACGCCGCGGGCGACCCAGAATCGTTCGATGTGGAGCGATTCTGACGCTTCGATAACGGCCGATCGTTCAAGGTCGAACGATCCCCGCGGTGTCGGAAACAAACGCCGAAGTCGGCACGACACGAACCTGACGTAATTGGTTCCTGCGCAGTGTCAAGGTTCTGATTCTAACATGTGTCGGAGGGTACCAACTATACACCAACACCGATCTTGGCCAGGCCAATCCTGGGCCCAGGATCGGTGTACATGCCTTCTTGCCCCAGGCAGGAGGGCGTATGACACCGATCCTGGGCCCCGGGTGATCCTGGCCGGGATCGGTGTTGGTGTATAGTTGGTGCCCTCCTATCAGGAGGGGAAAAAACACACAGACACAATTAATCTGCGATTCCCAGAAAATATTGGAAAATATGGGAAGTGGGGGGGAAGACAATAACCCAGAAAATATAGGAAAATATGGGGGATAGTTTTATTTGTGTGTATCTATTTGTGTGTCCCAACTCCCCTTCATCCTAATGTGAGAAGACGTCCAGCGAGCGCCCCGTCCCGAGCGGGAGCGCGCCACGAAGGCCCAGGGAGGGTGGGCCGCTCACGGTCCCCCGGCGGCCCCACGATACGGAGGGGTTTCTCCGGAGGGCTCAGGCGGCCCGTCCTCCTCCTCCCTCCTCCCTCCTCCTCCCTCCTCCTCCTCCTCCTCCTCCTCTTCCCTCCTCCTCCTCCTCCTCCTCCTCCTCCTCTTTCTCTTCCTCTTCCTCCTCCTCCTCCTCCCTCCTCCTCCTCCTCCTCCTCCTCCCTCCTCCTCCTCCTCCCTCCTCCTCCTCCCTCCTCCTCCTTCCTCCTCCTCCTCCTCCTCCTCCTGCTCCTCCCTCCTCCTCCTCCTCCTCCCTCCTTCCTCCTCCTCCTCCCTCCTCCTCCTTCTCCTCCTCCTCCTCCCTCCTCCTCCTCCTCCTCCTCCTCCTCCTGCTCCTCCTCCTCCGCCTCCTCCTCCTCCCTCCTCCTCCCTCTCCTCTTCCTCCTCCTCCTCCTCCTCCTCCTCCTCCTCCTCCTCCTCTCCTCCTCCTCCTCCTCCTCTCTCCTCCTCCTCCTCTCCTCCTCCTCCTCCTCCTCCTCCTCCTCCTCCTCCTCCTCCTCCTCCTCCTCCTCCTCCTCCTCTCCCTGCTCGCCCTCTCCTCCTCGGGTCGCCTACGGCCCCGGGGTAAACCGTCCACGATACCCCAACACGGACCCCCTCAACATGCGTCCAAGAGCTTTCGCGTTGGTCTGGACGCCCTCTGACGCGTTCCATGGCCCGTTCAAACCGCCGTGGCAGCCCATCTTGGGGCTACCTGGGGCCCCTCTGGAGCCCTCTGTATCCGCCCATCGGCGTCTCATCTGTCCTCTTAGAGCCATTTTCGACCTAAAAGTCTGGAGTTCCAGAGATCCCGTCCTCCAGCCTAAGGAGTTCGATAGGGCTTTGGCCGGCTTGGGTCAGGCGGCGGGGGTTCTTTTCGGGCTCTATTGTGGCCTTCTTCGGGCCCCTCCTCCCTCCTCCTTCCTAACCCTTTGAATTACCCAGGGGACCACCGCTGTCCCGAAGGAAGCCGTGGGTGCCGCGGTTCGGGAGTTCACGTCCAACACCGGTGGAGATCTCTTTCCGCGCCGGGCCAGCTCGAGTGCTCCCCAAGGGTCCCTGGGCTCGTTACGTCGAGTGGCCTTTGGCGGCGCGCACTGAGGATCGAGGTTCCAAGTCATCTCAGGGCTCTCCCTGAGCGCCCCCACGCGTTCCCAGGGCGTTTCCAAGCGCCCCCGGGCGCCACAGACGTTCCCAGGACGCTCCCAGGCGTTCCCATGGCGCGCCCAGGCGCTCCCAGCGCTCCTGAGCGCTTCAAGGGGCTCCCTGAGCGCTCCTCAGCGCCTCCAAGGCGCTCCCGTCGCCACGACTGGCATCGCGCTGGGGATCTGGCCGGGAAATGCGCGAGGGGTGGATCCATGTCTGAAGGGGTGGGGAGGGGCGGCACGAGGAGCGAGGTGTCCCGGTTCTGCTCCCTGCGATCGGGCCGAGGAGCCGCTCCAGGGAAGCCTTGGTCGGTACGATCGAAATGGGTGCGGAAATGATGGGTACAAGCCTGGCAGCATGTCTTCGTTTTGAGCAGGACTCGCAGCTGGTGTCGCCACGGACGTTGTCCGTTCGAGCCAGAAGGCAGCCTGTCCGACAGTGACAGCTGCCAGTTTTGGGCAACATTTGTTGTTGAGCATCGCACCCATTTTTCCGCACCCATTTTCGAGCGTCCGGGATCCGTGTTCGCTCAGATTCAGGAGGTGGGCAGGAGGGGCACGGATGATGACGGAGAAGGAGGGAGCGAGGAGGAAGGAGGAGGGAGAATGAGGAGGAGGAGGAGCATTAGGAGGAGGAGGAGGAGGAGGAGGATAAGGAGGAGGAGGAGGAGGAGGAGATTTCGCCGAGGTGGGCACGCCGCCGCAGCGGGTGTCCGTCATACTGGACACTGGCAGCGGGATCTTGGCGTTCCCATGCGCCGGGTGCAATCACTGCGGGAAGCACGTCGACCCGCTCTTCGACGTGTCGCGGAGCTCATCTGCCAGGCGGCGGAGCACGGTGGGGTTAAGGGAGAGGCGGAGGGGGAGGGGGAGGGCGATGTAGGAGAGTGTTTTTTACCGTCTGGGCCATAAGGCGCGTTATGCCCCCCTACCCTCCGCCCCCCCCTCCCCCCCATAACGTAACGCTCCCCCCCTCAGAGTGTCCCCGGCACTGCCGCAGTACGTCCAGCACCACAGTCTGGGGGGTGGGGGCGCTATGTTGTGCCCCCTCCCGTCCCCCCTGCCCTCCATGAACGCCCGTTGTGGTGCGCTCTAGGTCAGGGGGAGCAGTCGGGAGCAGAAGGAGGTGAGGGAGTTGAGGTCGTCTGCCAGGCGGGCCTCCCAAAGCAGGGCGGAAGTAAGGGGGAGGGCGACGACGAGGGCGCCACGGGAAGGGTGGGGGGGGGGATGGCGAGGAGGGCAAGCTCGGGACCAGAAGGAAGAGGGAAGGGATGGTTTGGCCCCATCGAGACATCCACGAGCCTCTGGGCCTCAAGCGTGCGACGGCTGCTAATTGCGTTCTGCAAGACACCTGCAACACTGACCCAAGGCGGCCCACACGAGCATGGAGGGGTCCAACACATGAGTTGGCCCTTTCTTTTCCGAGGGGTGCTTCTGCTCCGTCACTCGTTTCCAGCGGGACATGGCCCTCGGCGGCCGGAAGACCTTGGGACACGGGAGCACAAGCTTGTGCGTCCGCCCCCAGAGGAGGACGAGGAGGCAGTGGAGAAAAAGTGTGATGAGGAGGAGAGGAGCAGCAAACGCAGCAGGTATGATGAGCGAGAGGTGGAGGAGGAGCAGGAGGAGGAGGAGGAGGAGGAGGAGGAGGAGCATGCGGCGGGTTTGGCCTCGAGAGGACTATCGAGGAGCATCCTGGATCATCGAGCAACAACAAAAAAGCATGCACGAGACCAAAATGTACGGGGAATGGACGTCCGGGCGACGGCAAGGTGTCGTCACAGATGAAATTCCCATGCCTTCAGGATTGAATCAAGGGCGCTTCTCTCAGCAGGCTCTCCCCATCGGCAGCTCCCCATATCAGTCGCATCGTATCACAGTTCTTGAGGTCGATTTCGGATCGCGGCGGGCCAATATTTGAATGACCCTGGATATATGTTGGACCCTGATGTCTGCCAGTTCTCAGGCACGGAGAGAGAGCCTCGTGGAGCAGATTCTTCACGGCCGACGTGTTCCCCGAAGAGTGGTTGCAAATCATTGTGTTCAGCGCATTTCCTAAGCATGGGGTCCAACCAGCACATGTTGAATGTTGCAATCGGTTCCTGCCTATGTGTCCCGTACAGTAAGTGATTGGACTGTTTTCCACCACCACCACCAGAAGTTGGAGGGGGAGGGGGTCCTCCTCCTCCTCCACCTCCTCCTCCTCGTCCTCCTCCTCCTCGTCCTCCACCTCCTTCCCCTACAACTTATGGTGGTGGTGGTGCTGGAAAACAGGCCCTTCAGTAAGGCTCTTTGAGCGGGCACGGAATTTCAGTGTCCGCCGAGTCCCATATGCAGAGCCCCACAGACTCCCGTCCACAGGTCCCCTTGCGCCAGCGCGGGTTCTTGGTGGCTGGCTGGGGTCCAGCGAAATGGGGGGAGAGAGGGAGGAGGCCAAGGGAGCGCTGGACGGCTATTTCCTGCTGCGCTAGGGGGCCTTACGTGTAAGGGGCCCTGACGGTGGTGCACGCTGGCTATACACGGCCTGTCCGAGCTATAGGGCGTGCTGCACTAGAGGGGGTGGCCTGTAGTCGGGTGACGTCCGTCCCACAACCTTGACAGCCTTCCTCCGAGAGTCCTTTGACTCCCAGGCTTGCAACGCTGCTTGAGGGGGCGTTGGACGGGGAGATGGGGGGCGTGGAAGAGGATAGAATCAGGGAGTCTCAAACATGGATCAAGGGGGCGTGGATCAGCGACGGGTCCCGCTTCCGTGGGGATTCGCGGATTTCCGCCGCGGAGCGAGGCGGAACTGGCCGCACTCTGGGGAGGGTATCTCCCCCGATCCATGTTTGCGCGCCCCCGAGAGCGGATGGGAGGGGATGGAGGGAGATGGGAGGCGAAAGCTCAGGGGAGCCGCGGGGAGAGGGAAACCCAGGAAAGCATATGTGGAAGGGAGGGGGCTCTCAGGAGGGCTGTCACTCCTTCAGTCCTTCTCCTCCCACTCACCATCTGCTTCGCTTCCCGCTCTACAGCCGGGGCGCTGAAGAAGGAACCCTTTTCGTCGGGGAGGGGCTCGGTGCTCCTTGATTGTTAACGGTTTGCCTCAGGTCTTCCTGAGGTTTTCCATGGGACATCGACGTGTAACCTGTGAGAAAAAGGGGCCTCGCTCCTTATTTAGGGTTCCTTAGGTCAACGCTCCGACTGTAATTTCTGCCACCTCTCCCCCTCTCCTCTCTCCTGCCCCATGCGCTTCGTAGGCGAGGCGTCGCGGACGGCGCCCGATGGCCAGCGCCGTCGCCCCAACCCGCTGGGCCGGCCAGTGCTGCGGGGCACGCGGCCCCCCCACGCAGCGCTTCCTGCCACCAGGTGTGCCTTACCAGTTTGAAACATATCCCTATCCCTATGTTTGACATCATCTTGCCTCAATGCCGATCTTGAGGATTCCCTCAGTGTCTGAGGGCCTGCCCCTGAGATTGTCCTCGCTTTTTGCTCGCCCATCTTAGGGGTAGGGATGGGTTCGAGGCTGGTTAGTATCCCCCGCCTCACCAAGGAACGAAGACCAATGACCCTTCTGACAACCACCAGGGTGTAGGCGCCCGCTCGACCCTTGCACGGCGTACCGACGGTGCCTCGCTGCGGCCAAGTCGCAGGCCCCACTGGTTCGCGAATCTGCGCGCACCGCAAGTACCGTCGAGCATTTGATGAAGAAACCTCCCCTCGAGAAGCTGGGCCAGCGTTTCTTGGCCAACTTGTCCGAAAGCTGGCTCAGTTACTTGAGCGCGTTCGCCCCTCCAGCGTTGACACAATAACTTTGGCAGGTTTGCATTTTCCGAAAGGCTGGCCCAGGGTTCTTGGGTCATGATTTTCTTGATCATGGTTTCGGCTGTAGCACGGCGCGTCAGTGATACGTCTCCAGCCTCGCACTCACGCTGAGTACCATCCAGGAACGGTCCAGACCCCTTCTTGACAGGGCCCACGGAGCACAGTCCGCATGGAACGACCTCTAGCAGGCCCCCTCGCACGTCTGCCCTCCCTGGGACCATTTCTTCAGGGACGTCTCCAGCCACGACTTACTGCTCACCGCTAGCGCACCAGTGCTACATTTTGCTCATGTCTGATTATTCGAGAGCTCTTTGATTTGTGTGGGTGGCCAAGATCCTTTCATTTCTAATTGTTCTATCCTGGGCCTCCTCCTGGCCCCTCGGGGGCCAGGAACCAGCCGAAACGAGCACACTTAGAAGTGAGCACGATTAGACATGGACGACGTGGAGCTCCTTCCTCTCGCACGTCGTGCCCCGCGAGAGCTCCTGGCGACAGGCTCCGCTGCCCCGCCACGGGGCCGCCTGATTCCCCGGGGGCGGGCCCAGGGCGGATCGCTCATGGCACAGGGGTCCGAGGTGCGCAGGCGAAGAGCGTGCTGGCGGCCGGAGTCTCTCTGCAGTCTCGCGAGTGCAGGCGGGGTGTGAGAAGGAGGAGGAGCAGGAGGAGGAGGAGGAGGAGGAGGAGGAGGAGGAGGTGCCACACCTTTGATCGCCAGGGCCCGCCATTCTCTCCAGGCGGAGTCCACCTCTAGACCGCGCCGGTGGGGAGGTTTGTCACCGCCCCTTCCAGTTGCGTGGGGCCCCGCCGGGAAAACGTAGGACTCGAGTAGGCGAGAACTCGAGTTTGCCGACGTTTTCTGACGAGCGCGTCCTGGATTCTGACGGTCCAGTTTCCGTGGGATGTCTGCAGTGGGAGTTCGCGTCCAATTTCAGATTGGGCCTCGTAATTTTTTAGGACGGCCCCGTCAGGCCAACCCGAGTCCCCCGCACCCCAGTCTTCAAGGACCGACCACAACGCTGTTCAGCTTGGTTTGGGCCCTTGTTGTGTTTTTCGTATCGTTTTACGTTGTTGTTTCGTTTCGTTGTTCGTTGCTGTTTTGAACGCCTCGTTTCGTCGTTCGTTTTCGTTTGGCACCGGCTTCGTTCAAACCTTCGTTTTGAACGTTGGGCCTCGCTGTGCGCTGCTCGTTGTGAACGACATTTCGTTCTAGACATCGCTGTGGTCGGTCTCTGCCAGTCCTAATGGAGGATGACGGTTGATAAATGACCGGGGGTCGTGTTCACGCGGCGGCGCCCGGGATGACGATTAGAAAAAACCGGCCGCGGGCTGGAAAACTATTTTTTAATCGTTTGTGCAGAAATGGCAGAAAACTATGTTTTTAGTCGTTCTCTCCCATGTGTTTTATGAATCGTCATCCCGTATTACTCAGGAGGGGAAGAATCACACAGACACACTTAATCGTCGATTCCCCAGGAAATATGGGGAAATATGGGAAGTGGGGGCGAAGACCAAAACCCAGAAAATATAGGAAAAATGGGGGATATTTTTATGTGTGTGTATTTATTTGTGTGTCCTGGGGCCCCTTCACAGACAAGAGGGGCCGGCAGGGGGGTGCCTGTGCCCCCTCCGCCCGCGGACGAGCACACGCGTCCGAACCCGTGCGCGCTCTCCCCGTCCGTCCCCCCTCTTCCCTCTCCTCCCTCGCCTTCTTCTCCCTTTCCTCTCCTTTTCCTCCCTCTCCCTCTCCTTTCCCCCCCTCCCTCTCCTTCTCCTCCCTCTCCTTTTCCTCCCTCTCCTTTTCCTCCCTCTCCTTCTCCTCCCTTTCCCTCTCCTCCCTCTCCCTCTCCTTTTCCCCCCCCTCCCTCTCCTTCTCCTCCCTCTCCTTTTCCTCCCTCTCCTATTCCTCCCTCTCCTTCTCCTCCCTCCCTCTCCTTCTCCTCCTTCCCGTCCCCTCCTCCCTCTCCTTCTCTCGGAATCGTTTGACCAATCCCCATTCCCATCCCCACCCCCTGCGAGACCCCCACCACATTGCCACTCCACTTGGGGATACACCCCTCGAAACCCGAAGGGAACGGCCTACATCCCCATCTAGGGGGGTAAATCGGCCAGTGGGGCCGAGGCCACGCCGCTGGGGATGGGGATCGGTTAAACGATACTCCTTCTCCCCCCTGGCCCGCCTCGCTGCTCGTTCTCCTGTCCCTCCCCTTCCCTGCGGCAGGCTCGCGTCGTGTCGACCGGCGGCGACCCCGCCAGCGGCGTTCAGTTTTGAACGCCGCGGGCGACCCAGAATCGTTCGATGTGAAACGATTCGGACCTTTCGGAAACAGCCGATCGTTCAAGGTTGAGCGATCCCCGCGGTGTCAGGAACCACCGCCCGGGTCAACACGACGCAAGCTTTCCCTGCCCCGCTCCCTCTCCTCCCATCCCCTCTCGCCCCGTTCGCTTCCCCCTTCTCCCCGCATGTTTTTTTTCGGCTTACGATGTCCCAATTTACTCTAGCCTTGATCACCAGAAAGAATTCCGAGCATCAAGAAAGTACCGAAACTTGAGCATTCATAATCACTAAACCAGGTCTGCCGTAGCTGGTGTTTTTTTCGGGTGACGGCAGTTCCGGTTAGTGGAACGGGGTGGGGGGGGAGAGCGTGCCCCAGTACACCACTAAACCAGGTCCCACTAAACCCAGTTCTGCCAACGCCCGACCCTTGCCCCCTGCCACCCTCGCGCCTCCATTCCCCCCCATCTGACTTCCCCTCGCCCTCGCCGTGCAGGTGGGTCGGTTGCGGCAAGAGCTGCCACGGCAAAACTGGCAGCAGAGGCACCTGCAGAAACGACCACTGCACCTACTCGCAGTCCTACCTGGAAGGCCCAGCTGTTGGCATTGACCTCCTCCTGCTTCTCCTCCCCCCCGCCGCAATATTAGTCACGATGGTTTCCCCGTCCTCGGCCACATCTTCGCTCGTATCCGTCCTTCCTCCTCCCTCGACTCCCCCGGAGGCTGGGAATTTGTAGTGGAGATTCCTGAGACCCCCTCAAGTGTCAGCAGGCAGATCCAATAGCTTCCTGCGCCGAGGCCGTGCGACACGCATAACCCCCCTTGCACGTCGGGGCATGCCGCCCGCGTCGGTTGGGACCGCCTGCCTGGCCGAACGAGGCGCGAGGCGAGGCGAGGCGAGTCTTTCTCCTGCGCCTCCTCCCCCTGCTCCTCCTCCTCCTCCTCCTCCTCCTCCTCCTCCTCCTCCTCCTCCTCCTCCTCTTCCCCCTCCTCCTCCTCCTCCTCCTCCTTTTCCTCCTCCTCCTCCTCCTCCTTTTCCTCCTCCTCCTCCTCCTCCTCCTCCTCCTCCTCTTCCCCCTCCCCCTCCCCCTCCTCCTCCTCTTCCTCCTCCTCCTCCTCCTCGTCCTCCTCCTCCTCCTCCTCCTCCTCCTCCCGGTTCCAATCCGATGGAGCACATTCCCGCCCAACTCCGCTCCCATGTCCTCCTTCTTACCACTGCAGGGACGATCTACCAGGATTGTCTCGAGAGGGTTGGCCTGGAGGATTGGCCAGATCCCTGGGGGTTGGCCAGGAAGGTTGGCTGGGCCCGTCGTTGCAGAGGCATCGTGCGCCACCGCAAAGTCGATGCAAAGTTTACCATTGGAATCATTCGTCTCGAGCTTCTGTCCCGACGTCCCTCCTCGTCCTCGTCGTTGTCATCTTCCTTCAGTTACACATCCTGGGGTTCCTTCTCCCCTCGCCATTCCCTGCAAGCTCAATCCGAGCGTTCTGTCTCGCTTCCAGCACGCCTTGCGTCAATCAGTAGAAATGGCCGGGATTGACCGTTGGGTTGGCGAGCGAAATTATTCGATAAGCAGTGCATTCTTTTTTTTGCTATACAGTACTTCTTCCCTCCTCAATCCTTCAGGTCGCCCGCTCACCCAGGCATTTGGGCAAGCTAGACGCCTCTGCCCTGCCTTGCGGACCTAATGACAAGCTAGCGCCGAGCCTGACTGCAGTCAAAAGCCGGCATCCTCCACCGTGCCTCTTCCTCGCTCCCTACTCTTCCCTCCTGCCTCCTCCCGGTACCTCCTCCACCGCCTCATCCTTTCTCACGTGCATCGCGCCTTGATCAGGGAAGTCCGAGCGTGGGTCAGGAGAGGGAGAGGAGAGGATGATAACGAAAGGTCCAGGACGTGTAGGAGGATGCAGTTGGGCGAAGAGGGGAGCAGCCGTCACGCCGAAGCTCGGGATCACCCTGGGCAGACCCAGCTGGCAACCACACTTGTGGGACGCCTCCTAGGCCGTCTTGGGAGCATCTTAGAAACCCGTCAGGCCTCTTTGGGTGCTTCTCGGGGCTTCTATGCCGTCTAGGGGGCCTCTTGGACGCAGTTATGAGCATCTTGGGCTTTTTTGGCGACCTGCTGCATTCGAGTGTTCCTTGGAAGCGCATTGGGAACCTACCCGACCGATCAAGGGGCGGGTGATGGCGGATACAGTTGGCCGTTTGGGACACTTCTTTCAACGAGGGGTTCCAAACACAGTTCGTTTGGCCCGTTTGCGGTTCCAAAGCTTGACGCCGCAAAGGGCCAGCAGCATTGTGTTCGATTATGGTTTTTGCTATTTTCATAATGGCATGTTCTGGTCCAGGGACACTTATGACAAATTAATTGGCCTTCAGTTGCCGTGCCGTGCCGTGCCGAAGGAGGGGATAATGGGGATGAGAAGGCGGAGGAGGAGGAGGAGGAGGAGGAGGAGGAGGGAGAGAATGGGAATGCGGGAAGATGAGGAAGGACGGGGAAGGAGGAGTAGGAGAGCGATGGGGAAGGGCACATAAGGATACGGATGAGATGAGGAAGCAGGTGACGCAGGACTGTGAGGGATTCTGGGGAATGTGTGATGCAGACGAGCAGGAGGAAGAGAAGGAGGAAGTGCTAAATTAGGAGGTGGGTGAGGGGCGTTCGCTTTTTCCGCAGAGGCTCGTCTCTCTCTGGCTACTGGTTCGAGGATTACGTGCACCTGGGCGATTCCATCCAGCACAATCCTCCAGTCTATGCCAGGACAGGGCACAGTGACTGAGGGTGACGTGTCGAGTGTGCCTACCCATCTCCCGCCTCTACCACTTAATTGGAGTACATTTGCTTTCTTCCCTGACAATATCCAGCGGTGCCATCGTTGCTCACGCGAATAGAGTTCCCGCACACTTGATTTCACAAAGTGGTATTCCCGCTGTTTTCTTTCGATTGGATCGTCATCGTTCGTTTGAATGCCACGCTCTTTCTACACTTCTGTCCGCAAGTCGGGGCGGAGCTTTGCGCACGTCGTTATGAATGGCGCTCTCGCCCTAGCGCGGTTCACGTTGATGTATTCGATTGCGCATGGTGGCAGCGTGGCGTAACACGTCAATTGTGCATATAGGTGGGCTTCAGGGAAGACAGTTTCCTGACCATTTTCTGGTTTGCTGACTATGTCTTACAGTGCGCGCTAAATCTCCGCAATTGTAATGCTTGCTTCAACTCGGTACGGCCTGGAGATGCATCCAGACAGAACTACCCCGATGGTAGGACCCCACATGATAGTCTGTTCAGCTTGGCTGGGGATATCCTCCTGCTCCCTCCTCCTACCCCCTCCTGCCTTCTCCTTCCCATCCTGCCTCCTCCCCCTCCTGCCTCCTCCTCTTCCTCCTGCTTCCTCCTCGTCCTCCTCCTCCACGTTGTTTTCTTCCTCCTTCTCCTCCTCCTGGATGCGGCGTAAGACCCACTCCTTTCGGCCCATTCGCCCTCGACCACAAATTTACGGATCTGGAGGTCCTTCCCGCGTCCGAGGATCAGGAAGAGGCTTGCCGAGTTTCCTGCGCCCGAGGAAACGGAGGAGGAGGAGGACAAGGATGAGGGTCCGCTCCCGTTTTGGTGTCATGTTTGTACGGTAGGTTTGCGTCGTGTCGACCAGCTGCGACCCCAGCGCGGACGTTCAAGGTTGAACGCCGCCGGCGACCCAGAATCGATCGATGTTGAACGATCGGACGTTGCGGCAGCGGCCGATCGTTCAAGGTTGAACGATCCCTGCGGTGTCAAAAACCAACGCTGGGGTCGGCACGACACGAACCTGCCGTAGTTTCCCCGTCGGAGGCACTCGGCTTCTCCCTCTCCCTCTGCCCCCCCCCCGTCCTGGGATGTGCCCCTCGGCCCTCTTTCGCGCTCCCGCGAGGCCGCTGGCTGCTTGCTGCTGCTTCGCCCCCTGGCCCCACCAACACAAAGCAACGTTTCCTCCTCCTCCTCCTCCTCCTCCCTCCTCCTCCTCCTCCCTCCTCCTCCTCCTCCTCCTCCCTCCTCCTCCTCCTTCTCTTTGTCCTTCTCCTCCTCCTCCTCCTCCTCCTCCTCCTCCTCCTCGTCCTTTCCTTCTCCTCCTCTTCCTCCTCCTCCCTCCTCCTCCCTCTCCCTCTCCACCCCGCCTATTCTCTTCATGCACCTCTCCTTCCTGCGGGCCGGGGCGCGCATGTCGATGATCTTCGGCGCCGTCGCCGTCACGACCAGCATGCGCGCGTTGTTCGGCGGCCGCATCGCGAAGCCGTCGGGGCAGCCCGCGGGCCAGGCCGTTGGGGCAACCCCGTGAGCCGGCGCGGCGCGGGAGCAAGCCGTCGGGACAACCCCGCTGGCCTCGAGCTGGGCGAGGACTGCCTCCACATTGAGGCCTGGGGACCCCAAAATGATGATAGCTACAGGTTTGAGGGTGACCCGCTTGGATTGTATATTCTTATAGGCATATATATATATATATATATATATATATATATATATAAGACAATCGGGATAGGATAGGGGTCCATAGGGATAGGCTCCCGTCCGGGACTTCTTCGTAATTCGCTCACTGACGAGGCTCCCGCTCAAGATCTCTTCCATCTTCAGACTTGGCGGCCCCAACAGTGACGACAACTACACGTTTGAGAAGAACCCGCTTGGAACATACAGAAACATGAAGCGCGGGCGCCATACGGAAACGGTTCCAACCGGAGACTTCCTCGCAATGCATTTACACACGAAGCTCCGCCCAAATGTTCTTCCATTTTCAAACCTGAGGAAACCCAACGCGATGGCATCTATAAGTTTGAGGATGACCCGATGTTGTTGTTTTTTTTTGGCCACAGCACAATTTGGGGTGCGGGACCCATAGGGGGAGGGTTCCCCGTCGAGACTTCCGCTCAATATTTCCTCCATATTCAGGTTGGTTGCCCCAAAATTGACAACGGTTAGACATTTGTGGAGGACCCCTTGGGTTTAAACGGACGAGGCGCGGGACCCATAAGCGAGGGGCTCCCGCCTGTGATGCCCTCGCAATCCATTCGCAGACGAGACTCCCGCGGGGGACTTCCTCCACATTCAGGCCTGAAAAACCCAAAAGTGATGACACCTACAGGTTTTAGGATGACCCATTGGCAGTAAAAGCGTGGGGCGCAGGACCCATAGGGAGGGGGTTCTCGCACGAGAGTTCTTCACAATGCATTAACAGACGAGACTCCCAATTGATCCTCATCCATATCCAGGCGTGAGGAGCCCAAGCGCGAAGACAGTTACATGTTTAAGGATGACCCGCCAGGGTTTAAATCGCGAGGTGCGGGGCCCAGATGGGGGGGGGGTCCCGCCAAAGGTTTCTTCGCAATTCACTCACGGACGAGGCTTCCGCTCGAGATATCCTCAAGATGATTCCTCCGCTCCCACATCTCTGCCCGCCGATCCCGCTCACGAAGAATCCTTCCCGTGTCCTACAAGAACTCGGGATGGGATCGCTGCTGGAACTGGTTGGCTACGTGGGTTGCAACTGCGGCCCAGCCATCAAACTGCCCTGGGCCAGCTTTTGCAGCAGGCACTTGGAGGGCCGCAACATGAACCTTGTGTTCCTTTCAGAGCCATCCCTGTGGCAATTCCGACTGTCTCTCTTGGAAGACGGGTTGCTTTTGGACGCCGGCCACTTGGATCGGGGCGCGTGGAGTTTGGCCAGGGACCTGCCAGCAGCTCATGCTAGCCCACCTCGTGTCCTAGGGCCCGTAGGAGGGCAACGTGCTGCCTGGGAACAGTACCGGCCTAACTGACCTGCCGGGTTCGCAGAGATTTCCATGTGGATGAGCGAGGAGTTCCTCAGGGAAATTGTTCTGAGACTCGGGGCGGGCCCCTTCCAGCGTTGCCGCTTCCCGCGGGACGACTCTACTTGGCCGGCCCACCTGCCCACACCGTTCCAAACAAAACTCTGGACGCCCGAAATGGCCACGGAAAGAATGGGTACGATGCCCAACAGCAGTCTTTGTTCATTCTGAACAGGGCTCGGTGTCCGCGCTGCCGCGGCCTGTGTGCATTCGAGACAGGAGGCCGCCCGCCCAACAGCGGCCGCTGTTGGTTTCGAACAACCTTTGTTGTTGGGCATTGTACCCATTCTTTCCGTACCCATCTCGGGCGTCCAAAAAAGCAGCGCGTTGACCTGACCCTGGCGCCACTAGACTCGGCCGCAGTGCTTCCAGACCTGGATCCCCTCCCGCCGCCCAGTTGCCCAGCGCCGGCAAGCCTCTCCTTGGACTCCTTGGCCCCGGCTAGCCAGATTACCCAGAAAAGAATAGCCCTGACGCCCGGTGTTGGGACAGCGGCACGTGCATGACCTTCCTGGACAAACTATACGGCAGCGAGAAGAGCGAGGGCGGCCGAGCCGACAATCTGAGACCGGCCTGGGCGACCTTCCTGGGGTCCCGTGCAGCACTGAGCGGGACCGACCCGCCCAGGTACGACGTAAACGACTTGACGTCCTTCCTGGCCAGCCAGGGGCATCCGAAGTCTGAGCTCCCCTCTTCTTGCCTACTACCGCCGCCCGACGCCAGCTGGGGAAGCGGTAGACGCTCCCAGGGCGACAGCCGCAGACGAGCTTCCAGGACCAGCGACCAATGACGCTAATCCGCGGCGGGGATTTATCCATAACCACCGCCTGGGGGTTCGACGAACCTCCACAGTCGGTGGATGTGGATATATTTGGCCCCCTGGGGGCCGAAATATATCCATATCCACCGCCCGCTGGGGCACCAGGACGTCGGTCCCCAGGTGGTGGACATGGATAAATCCCCGCCTCGCAGCTACCCGGGACCGCGACCTCACACCGACAAAAGGCGCAGCGCCCAACCCCGCAGCAAACCAGGCGCAACTGGCCAGGTCCGTCCACCTGGAGGACCCAGACGGTCCGTCTCCCGCGTGCTGTTGACGCCGTGCGTTCGGTGAAATCCAGGCATGACCTCAGTGAAGAATTAAGCTTGTTTGTTTCGCAAAACAGAGACCTCCCAGTGTCAATGCGAGTTGCGTCCAGCATCTCGACGAGGCGGTCAGTCCTGCGTGGAACGTCCACTCGTTTCTGCGAGGTGCCTCGCATGCGGGATGTCACACCAGCGCCGCAGTCCTTCACGCGCGCCCGTTGTCCGACTCGGCACCTTCCTCGATTCCCGCCGAGGTGGAGGAGGAGGAGGAGGAGGAGGAGGAGGAGGAGGAGGAGGAGGGAGAGGAGGAGGAAGAGGAGGCCATGACCGCGGCGAGGATGGGCTGCCACCAGAATGAGAACAACTTGTTCTACACCCAGAAGGCCCCCCCGGCGCCAGAGCGAGGGCCACGAGACGGCGGCGGCCACGAGACGGCGGCGGCCACGACGGCGGCGGCGGGCTCCGGCGGCGGTGCCAAGGGCGTCACCACTACAGTCCAGACGCTGAAACAAGGATTACTGCGGGGTCAGCAAGGGCTCCTCAGATCGGAGCAGGAGGAGGAGGAGGAGGAGGAGGAGGAGGAGGAGGAGGAGGAGGAGGAGGAGGAGGAGGCGGCGGCCACGGCGGCTGCCACAGCGGCCGTCACGGCGGTGGGCCGCCAGTGCCGCGTGGCGCCGCCGAGGGCAGTTGCCGAGGGGGGCTCGCCTTCTGGGGGAGCGCGCTGCGTCGCCGAGGCATCGCGCGGTGCGGCTGCAGCGGAAGCTCATGCCAATTAGCACCCTGCTCGCCTCCAGGGTGCCCTGGATTTCTTGGGTGTCGGTGGTTTTGCAACGGAAAGCGTGACGTTCCCACACCAAAAAGTCAGTGGACGTCCTTGGGTCTCAGGGTTGGGTTTCTTGTGGAAGGTTTATTGTGGTCGAGCTCCTACTGTATGGCGCCGATGGATCGCCGCCGTCGCCGGTGCATCGCCGATGTATCGCCGACGCATTGGCCATGGGCGATGCGTAGGCGGTGCTGCGCGATCCTGCGACCCCGTCTGCTCGGACCTCATCTAGGAGGTCTCTAGCAGTGCCGAAGGGGGGCTTTCCACTGGGGAGTCATTATGTTGCTTCCTGGCCGGTTGATCCAACGCAGCAAGTTCTTGGGCGGGACTCGCCGAGATCAATTACCGCCACGCTCAGGACTCGGCTGACGCATGCAAATGCGAAGCGGGCCGCTGGGGAGGCTTTTCTGTTAATGCCCGGCTGTTTGATCCGATGCAGCGAGTTCTAAGGAAGGCGGACGAAGACGAAGACGAGGAGGAACAGAAGGACGAAGACGAGGAGGAACGGGACGAGCAGGATGACGTTAAGGTGAGGACGTCAAAGCCTGTTGGCCAAAGTATTCAAGGCTATCTTCCATCCATCCTGAGCCCCTCTCTGCGCCCCCGCGCAATGGCGACGGGTGGCGCTGGCAGCGAGCTGATCGCGGGGCCGCCTGGGCTGCGCGGGCCACCTGTCCAGCCGTCCGCTTGCACGGCCGCCACGTGAAGCAGCGGCGGGTGCGACTGCCGCGAGCCGCGACGGCGCGGTTGCCGGATCCTTGGCCACAGTGTGGAGAGATCGCCCTCGGCCTTTTTTGCAACGACGCGCTGCTGCTGCTGCTGCTGCTGCTGCTGCTGCTGCTGCTGCTGCTGCTGCTGCTGGCGGAGTCGGCGGCGCCGGCTCCAGGGCTTCGGGCGCCCGCCTCTCCGGGCACGTGGCACCCTGTGGCCACTCTGCCTGCCCGAGGCGGCGCCGCGCGCCCCCTCTGCCTCGGAGGCCGCTCTCGAACGGATGCGCGCAGCTCCTCGCGGCCCCCCGGGTACCAGCCTCGACCCCCCCCTCCCCCTCCCCCTCCCCCTCCTCCTCCTCCTCCTCCTCCTCCTCCTCGTCCTCCTCCTCCTCCTCCTCGTCCTCCTCCTCGTCCTCCTCCTCCTCCTCCGCCTCCGCCTCCTCCTCCTCTTCCGCGTCCTTCGCCATGGTCGCCTCCTCCTCGCTGCCGGGCGGCGCCACCACGTCACCCGACCTCTGTGCCGCGCCGCCCGCAGCTGGCTCACCCGGGCGCCGGAGGCTGGCCCTGGCGCCGGGCACGCCAGCTGCCTGGGCGTCTGCGTCCCCTGGCGTCTTCCTCCGGGCTCTGCGCTCACGGGGGTGGACGGCTCGGGGAAGGCTCCACGCCCCAACACCGTCGGAGGATCGCCGCGGGACAGATCTGGTCGTGAGGCCTGCGGCCCGGGAGAGGATGGGCTCCACAAAGGATGCCGAGAGGATGCAGGCTGGGGGCGACGGGCCTGAGGCCATGCGCGGCGACGTTGCGATCAAGCTCACACAGCCATGGAGGACTGCGTGGATGCCTTGATGGGCAGGTTCTTGCAGGATAGGCTATGGGCCCACGCTTGCCTCTTGATTTGCGCCTTGGGCTGGAGAGCAAAGAATCGCCCACTCGATTCAAGAACGGCGAAGAGTACCAGGTGTCCAGGTATAGGAAAGAAGCAATGGAGGAGCGCCACGCTAAGGGGGCCTGCGAGGAGGTGGTGCCAAGCAGTGGCGAAGCATCCTGATCCCCCCGCCAGATCATGGTTTAAGCATGTGGCTCGCACGAAATATTATGACAACAGTTCTAGCTAGAGCGCCCTGTATTGACACGCTGGTTTCATGCTCCGACCACCTTGCTTTGTGTTGTTAGAGCGTTGTCCTTTCGTTCTAAGAGCAGTCCGCGGTTCGCAGGCTTGTAGGAATGCCGGGACGGTCCGTCCCTGCTCACAGGGCGGCGCCGCGACTGCCGCCCTCGTGGCGCTCGGCGTTGCCCCCCCCCCCCCCCCCCTGGGTGTCCCAGAGACCACGGGACGGCCCCTGCCGACCCCCCGAGGAGGAGGAGGAGGAGGACTAGGAGGAGGAGGAGAGGAGGAGGGGGAGGAGGAGGAGGAGGGGAGGAGGAGGGGGAGGGGAAGGAGGATGAGGAGGAGGGGAGGAGGAGGAGGAGGAGGAGGAGGAGGAGGAGGAGGAGGGAGGAGGAGGGGGAGGAGGGGAGGAGGAGGCCCAGCGGCACCTCAGGGACGGCCCCCGCCGACCCCCCGCGCGACCCCGAGAGGCCCATCGGCTCCCCCCGCCGACCCTCGGCGCCGCCCCTCGGCGTCCAGCAGCCACGGCACCTGGGCGCCGACGCTCGCCTCGACGGCGCCGGCCCCCGCTCCGTGGGTGCTCCTCCTCCTCCTCCTCTTCCTCCTCCTCCTCCTCTTCCTCCTCCTCTTCCTCCTCCTCCTCCTCCTCCTCCTCCTCCTCCCCTCCTCGTCCTCCTCCTCCTCCTCCTCCTCCTCCTCCTCCTCCTCCTCCCCCGCCTCCTCCTCCTCCTGCTCCTCCTCCTCCTCCTCGCTGGACGGGGGGCGCGCGGGGATGCCGCGGGCGACCGCCCCGGCCGCCACCCGGGCGCTGCGGCCTGCCTGCCGCCGTGTGCTCTCTGGCGAGCTTCCGGAGATGGCCCTCCTCCCCCCGAGCTCCCACCACAGGGAGGGCGAGCGAGGGCGAGGAGAAGAAGGGCGCGTGGTTGTGCAGTGCCTCACTCTAGCGTCGTCCGAGATACCAATGCCACAACCCTTCCCTCGTTTTCTCCTCTTTGGGCCTCCTGGGAGGCTCGTCGCCACCGCTGGATTCGCCTCGAAGTTCTGGTCAGAACGCACCCTGGGAGAGGTCCGGGGAGTAACGGTACCGGTACCTTTTGGTTTCCCCAGTTTGAGGAAGAACGCGCCATTTGGCAGACACCCGGGTGCCCCTACGCACATTGAGCAGCGCTACGGTGAGCAAGGCAACTCCGGGCAGCACGATCGAGGCCAGCTCACGGCGACCCCAGCTTCCAACAAGGCAACTCTGGCCCCAACACCGACCGCAGCTCCCGCTCCAAAGCATACTCCGGCTCCAACTACAGCTCCGACCCCCCCTTCCGTCGCCAGCTCTGGCGCCGACTCCAGGCGCAGCGGCTTATACACGCCTACCGGCAGGGCGGCGATGCGCATGCACGGCGGGATCCGGCAGCTGGGCGCTGCACAGCACGCCAGGGCTCAGCAGCAGGACTCCTTGATCCCGCGGGACGGCGGAAGCCGGGACGCCAAGCACCGCGACGATTAGGACGGTCTCGGGGACAGTCGACCCCTATGACGGCGGAACCCGCGACGCTCAGCAATGTGATGCTCAGAGCCGCCTCCGTGACATGCAGCACAGCGACAGCGGAAACCGTGACACCCAGACCCGCGACGATCAGCACCGCCTCCGTGGCCTCCGACAGCATGACCCTCGACGCCGTCATGGTCTGGACCGTGACGGCGGAAACCGTGACACTCAGCACCCTTGTGCACATCCCCAGCAGGTCCATGACGACGGACAGCCCGAACAAGGGTCGACGCAATAGACATAACAGCCCGTCTGGGATCGGAATAGTTGGTGGGCGATTGGAGCGGGAGCTGCTGCTCCCAGCCTTACAGGCACAATTGAGTCGAGTATCTTCTCGCGCGACAGCTTCCGGCAGCTCCTGCAGCTGCTGCCGCAGCCGCCCACGCAGCCTCAGGACGGCGCGGGTCCTGCTATGCAAGACATCTGGTCTTGGGGGCGCTGGGAAAGTACATGCTCTGGGCGATCGGGGGGACGGCTCTTTTGGTTCCGATGCTCCCCCGTGTTCGCCTACAGCTTCCTGCCTGGACCTGCGCTCAGGATCGGCGTGTGGGCGACCTGGATGGCACTTGCACGGTGAGTAACAAGACGGCGGGTCTCAGTTCGACGGTCGTGTTCTACGACATGCTCTGACAGCATCCCTGACTGAGGCGCGCCCCGCGGCGAGGCTCGGCCTACATTCCGCTTCTCTCTTCTTCCTCCCTTCTTGTTCCCCCTCCGCACCCCCGGGGAGCACCGCACTCTGCTCCTGTCCTGTCGCTGTTGGGGCTTCGCTGCTGGGGCAGCGGCGCGTGCTATGCGCTGGGCCGTGCCGCGGGAGCCCCCTCCTGCTGGGTACCCTCACGGCTGCTGAGCTCCCCGGCGCCGTTCGGGGGACGAAGTCTATACATATCCACTGCTCCCTGGCCAGGCCCATACTGAACCCAGGAGCTGTGTATACGCCCTCCTGGCCAAACCAGGAGGGCGTGGCGTATACACAGCTGCTGTGTTCAGGATGGGCCTGGCCAGGGAGCAGTGGATATGTATAGACTTCGTCGCCCTAGCCGTGGAGGCTGTCCGCGGAGCCCTCCCCGTGGCGCACGCGCCGCCTCCGGGGCCCGGCTGGGCCCCGGGCCACGGCGGGCCTCTCCTGCGCGCGGCAGTGGCCGACCTCTTGTCGGCAGCGCCGCGAAGCGGGAGGTGCCAGCGGCGAAGGCGGCGCC